CTGTTTGGGTTGTCAGTGGAATTTGCCGGCACCGAAATTCAGGTTCCCCTGTCGGTCTAGTCGAGCTGCATCCTGCAAAGCGTACAATTAATTCTTGGTTGAGTGACACAATCGAGTCGACTATTTGATATGGTTATTTTCTTCGGCGACAAGGGAGATCGGTACTTGTTTTAAAACATTTTTTGCTATACCCGTTTCGGTTCGAGGTTACAAATGAACATCATAGTTTCATGGGCTTTGCGAAAACAATTTGATTCACCGTGTTAAGAACTTGACGTGCGCAATCGAGGAAAGGTTAAAATATCCAAATGAAGTTTAGGAAGGTTTCCTACGGTATGTTCACGCCTGCATTGGTTTAGTGTGGGCCACGTGCCAAATCATGCCTCGCCCATCGAAACCTTTTGCAGGCACGATGGGCTTTTCGACTGTTTTTTAAACGTGCATTGAATTAAAGTGCAATATTTGCAGACAACTTGCCACGCAGCACTGGTGGAGAATGTTGAACTTGTTAAGTATTGAAGATTTTATTACGGTATATAGAATGTCTCGACATTTTGTGTCATGTGTTGGTTGTTACTTGTGAATTTTGAATACTGTTGTAAGCTGTGTGACTAGCTAAATTGAGTCGCAATTACTCGCTTTGTCACTAGGGAGACGTTGGACTGTAGTGCTTTTGTTGTTAGTGTGTAGTGGTTGTTTTCTCTTTCTATAAAGTTTATGAGTGTCAAGGACAGTGAAATTTGCATACATTGTTTTTTTGTGGCTTTTTTGTTGTGGTTTAGTGAGACCGATATGTTTACATTGTGTATGCATTTCTTTAGAATCAATTTAACACTAAGACTTGGTTTAGAGCACGTAGTGTCGTCTCTGTGATACATTGCAAAGTTTAGTCATTTTCCTAGTGCAAAGGTGTTTTTTTACCGTTTTTGAATACAGTTTAACAAAACTTTGTGATATAACTTAGAAAATGAGTTTAATTTAGAGCTATATTCCGGTTGTTGACGCACACACTCTTTACGACACATATGTCTGTTTGGGTGTTTGGAACTTTTGTTTTGAATAGTGATATTTTCTGATGTTAACTTGCAAGTTTATTGTGGGAATTGCTTTTGGCCGCAGAAACCCTAAACACAGACCTTTAAAGTGGCTTTCAACTCTTTTTTTTTTTTTTTTTTACTTTTATGCAAAGTGAGATTTAAAATTGTCATTGTGATTTGTTTGTAAGCATTTTTCGATGCAGCCTTCTGAGCATTTTATTTTGGGCTCGTAGCAGCAAAATGCTCAGACAGGCATCTTTTTTTTCCTTAGAGAATCGCAGAGTTTTGTAGAGCTAAATGATGCAATAAATCTGAGCTGCAATTTTGAAGGTATTCTACTACCCGCCACAACCAACTTCTTCGGCACGTGTACCGTACGATCGCAGCCGTCGTGCGATTCAGATCTATAGTTAGTGAATCCGCCTGCATCCAGTCATATGCCACACGGTGATTCAAAGTACTAAGAAAGTGATGTACTGCTTTTGTACGAACCTATGCCAAATAAATTTCTCCACAACTTCATAATTTCCAAATGATGCGAGACCTCTGACAGTGGCGTGGCCCTGTGCCCATTGCTGATGGAAATTATTGTGAAGGAATTTTTTTTAAATATGGCACGGTATATTTATACGAAAGAGCCGACATTTAATGCTCCTAGTTGCTTCCATTACGAACTGTCTTATCACCGTATGGAATTTGATGACTAAATGGATAGTATGAAAGCCGTTGAAGGTTACAACTAATCCTTAGAGTCGCTGAAAAAAGGCACGTTTGCCAAAATTGCGTGTCCATCAACAAAAGGCTGCTCCCACTACTGATGGGGCATTGGTGATTGCCCGCATTTTGTAAGCACATTTTGCTCGAGTGTTTTAAGTTGCATATTAATACTTTGGGTGCGTTTCCAGCGCTGTTAAGAAGCTTTCGATCCGAGTTGCGATTTCCTTGCATGGTTGTGCACCCCGACATTGAAGTCACTATGAATTTTTGTTGAATACCTGTATGACAATGTGTCGTGCACCATCTTCGAATTGTCGCATTAACATTATCTCTGTGTTGCTCTTCGTTATTCAGCCGTCCTCTAGGTGTTGAAATGTGCACATCTCCGTCTATGAACGTGAAATAATTTTCGTTTGATTGACGCCATTCTAAATATGAGAGGGCCGTCTGTGGTTGTGCCTGCAAACACCGAGCGAGCATAGAGACTCTGCTTGTGACGGTCGCTTCTTGTTAATATAACGAGAGCGAAAGAGATGCAGTCGCAAAAAACACGAGAACGCCGTCTGCTTTTGATGCGTCACACCTCGTGTCCGTTGCAGCTTGGCAGAGAAGAGAGCAGAGTAACGAAGGAAAGACTGCACGTGCGCAGCACCTCAACTCTTGCATGTTTTCTTAGGGGCTTGCATCGACAATACCATGCAAATTTTGTTTTAGCCAGAAGTGACTGTTCATTGTTGATTATGCCACTAAGGTCTCTCTGTAACCGAGTCTGGTCTAGTAAAAGATAGTAAGGCTGGGCTTTAGTTATGGTCCTCGCGCGGCTAGATGAAGTACCGTTGCGACAGAAAGTACTCGAGTAGCTGACGTCGTGCTAAGTTGTAGCTGATTAAATACAGACTTTGTGTTTGTCCAGTCTTCTACGCTCCAAGGTTAAAAGTCTTGAGAAGTAAAGAGCTTTTCGGAAATATTTGCTGCAGTCAACTTCTGCTATATCGGTGCAGGTTGCATTCTTGCAGCCTTTTTCTGTGGCTCGGTGTCTTTTTTACGAGGTTTTTATGAAAGACGACGAAAGTGCCATCTTTTTTTTACTGCGTTTGTCTTCACTCAAGTGAGGATGCTGAGAAAAATGCTCTGGTGCACCTCGTTGGCACAGAGTGATGTTTTTTTTTTCACTTTCCGTTTGCTCTTTCTCACCAAACTTAATTAAAAACACTACCATTTCCAATCACATGTTTTGTCAGGAAGCCGTTCGTGGGAGCGTGTAATCTTTATGGGCTTGCATCTTCTAAATGACCTTTGTTGAATTAAGGGTGCCCCTTTTGTGCAAAAATAAATGGACTGGAACAATTTTAGATGCAGCTTTTTTCTTTGAGTGTCTCGCGCAACATTATTGGAGCATAGTACTAACCGCATCTTTCAGGCAGACATCTTGTCTGAGTAGTTAGAAAATTGTAGAGGTCTGTTTTGCTGATGCGACGACCCTTAGAAAGCTCACGTGTATTTCCTGCCTGCGGAGATGCTGCTTATTCATACCCCGATTACGTTTTAGTTCTAATTTGTTAATTCGTAATAAGGGACCCATTGCAAATTAATTATTTATAAACTCTAACATGTTTTGTCCATCATTTATTACTAGAGCTTCTAGTGACTGCAATCGCCTACCTGTATCGCTTGCATCACTCATTCACTAAGCTATTTTTGGCGAAATAAACTATTTCTCTTGTTTCACCATAAGTCGGAGCACAGCGTGCATTATAAGCCATTATAAAGCAGTGCCAAAAGTGCAATGTCACAGTGTCCGTCATTTTTTTGTGCATATTCTATCAACTAGCTCGACCAAACGAGTGTCGTGAAAGCACCTTGACCTTGCATTTTCAGTCTCTGTGTTTGTAGGGCTTCTAGATCCTGACTGCGTTCCCTTGGCAGGGTTTCACGAGGATTTGTTTTCTTTCTCTTTTCCTTTTTTACTAATTGGCTTTTCTAAGTGAAATTTCTCTTAGATTTACCCTCATAATTTATTTTCAATTGGGTTATGTCTGCAATGCTAATGCAGGAGCAGACTGAACCACTTCGTTTTTCATTATCTTACTTGCTTCACCCCAAATTGTGCTCTTGACTAATGGTGACTTGAAGTGTGACTACCCGTTCCTTATTGTTAAAATGCTGTTACATTTTTTAAAAATATTTTTTATAACTTTTACTTTTTTAATGCCTTGTGTGCCTTGGACGTAGAATATATAAATACATAAGTAACCTTCACTTCTCTCAATAGAGTGGGAGATAAGAATGTCTCATTTCGATTATCCGCCGTGCGCTTGTTTTGTAGCGCATTGTCGTCCTCGCTTTTGAAGCGTAGTCGAGAAAGAAGGAGCTTCTTGGGTTTCTTTGAGTTTTTGCTCTACCAATGGGCGTTTTGTGCTCGCTACGTATTCTAGGCCCTTTGCACAAGTTACTTTCTCAGGTGTGCCTCTATTGACTGAAACTGACTTCCCTCTCAAGCTTCCACCACAAACAGTTTAGTTCCATTTCAGTCTGTTGTGCACAATGAAACTGATGGGTTTGGTAGTCGTGATTGTATAAAACGGACCTTTTCATTTATTTTTTCTTTGTTCTGCATTTTTATATTTACCGTTGGTTCGGCTCACTGTCTTATTTTTTTACAATTTGTCATTTCATTGCTGTTGTGTTTCCTTTAGTATCTTTGCTCCGAATGTTAATTGATTTTTTTTATGTACTACTTTTCTTTGTCATGCATAATTGCTTCGAGGGTAGTTAGAAGAAATATATATAACATAAAACATTGGCAGCTGAGTTTTAATCTATTGATCAAATCGCCATAGCAGAATTGCAATGTATGAGAAATTTTGGGTTTTTACAATGTTTTTTCGTTGGCACGCTCCGATTAATCACTCGATGTCACATTCTCAAGTTGTGCTGTCAAGTCACGCGACCTAATGTCGCATGACGTGGTCACACGACAATACAGCGTGGTGTCGTAGGGATGTCACGTTACGTCACGTCATGCGGCATAGTATCGTGTCGCATCCTGTGGCCTAGTGTCGCGTCACGTCACGTGGCGCAGTGTCATGTGAGGTGCCACTTATGCCATGGACGAACACGAAATCCGAGCTGACTTTTGTTACTTCGCAGTTCCGCATTAACAAATGAATAGCACTGCCAGCGTTTTCCTCGCACCCGAGTCCTTCTAAAGCCGGTGGGGCGGTGGGGGGGTGGCCCTCTTTGCAGGGAACCCCTTCGTGCGGGCACTGCTTCGGAGGAATCCGGCCCGCACCCGCGGCGCTCCTCGCGGCCACTTCCGCTGCAACCAGTGCACGGCTGAGTTCACGGAGAACGCCAACCTGTCGCGCCACCGGCGGACGATGCACGCCGCTGTGCCGAGCGTCTTCGTGTGCCACATCTGCACCCGTGCCTTCAACCGCAGCGACAACATGCACATGCACGTCAAGAACGTTCACGGCGGCGGCAACAGCGGCAACGGCCTGGCGCTCAAGTGAAGCCTTTTGCACGTGCGCCGCTCTGCGCGCACGCGTCGTCCGACGTGTTGCGAAGGAGACGTCTCACACACTCTAAACTTTGTCTCGCTGTAACTCGGCTGACTGGGAAAGCTATGGTCCCAGTGAGCCAGTCGGTGCATCTGAGGGAGACGCGTGACCATACTCTATTTCGGTTCTCAGAGGTTTCAATCTGGGGGAGCCCCTATCTTACTCAATTGAAAGCTAAGGACTACGGGCTTTTAAGCAGCAAAGCGGCTTAAAAGCCCGTAGACTTTGTAAACAATAACGGTCAAAGTAGAAATCGTTTGGCTCGTAGTTGCGCGCTTAAACTGGGAAAAGACTTTACTCGGGGTCGGCGACAGTCGGGGAAATGTTGGGGCCTGGGGAGCCCGACAAGGGTACTCTGGGTATCCCTGAAGAACTCTTGGGTACCTAGGAGCCCAGGAGTTCCCCAGAGTCCCTCACAGAAGTGGGTCCAGGCAAGGGGCAGAGTTCCTCCTTCCCCTCTTCTCCAACTGCTTGGGCTACGCTCTCGACCTTGTACTTCTCGTAAGGGCGGTCGTACGGTTTGCCTCTGTCGCCCTTATTGGCTCGTAGGGGCCACAGTGTTCGCTCTTCGTCAGGTTATGGCGAGACAAAGTGTAGGATTGCCCGCATCGAAGGAGTACTCCGGCGTTTTCTTGAGCTACCCAAACTAACTACATCTTATGAGTTCTCCAGTTTTAAAGAGTGCTCACACATTTGCGTTTGTTTCACACTTGCTACCTGCGCGTAACTAGACTGAAGGTTTTGCCGTATTTGTGATATCAAATCTATTAGATATATGAGAAATGATCGCTCGCTACAATGTCGGAATTATTTTGAGCCTACAGAGCAAACTCTGAACAAAAACGATGCCAAAAACAGTGTTTCGATTTCTCCGAGGTTTACAGCGGCGCGACGTTGTCACTGGCAGGCGCAAGCGCGCGGTTTAAAAATGGAATATAGACCATTCCACTAAGTGCTTTCAGGGCGATGCCATTTTATTACATCCGAGCATTACAAAGAATTCGGCTGGGTAAAAAAGGGAGTCCTAATCCCCATAGTGGAGGACAAATCGGCTGTTCTCGGAAGTATGGGCGGTATCTGTGGGCTGCACGTTGGCTGTACCGAACAACTAACCCTCGCTCGTTGCTGCTGCTATGGAGTGGTTCACATTTCTAGAACTTTTATGGATACTCCAAAATTAGTATATTGTGATCTTTTAGTTTATTTCGGTAAATAATCAGCTAGCAGATCTTCGTTCAGTTCCTTCAATAGCAATGGCATCCACAGGTGGTGCTGGTCTCAACCGTTACCGTCTATTGCACCAAAAAACACAGAACCCTGATTGTACTGTACCAGAGTTGTACACCATCTGTTACAAGTAACAAAATTAGTTGTAATCCTTTACATCTATCAGTAGTTTTGTAAGGATATTTACATATTTTACAACGTAATTGTAAGGCAATTTTCTTGCTTATTTGTGTGAGGGAATGATCGTGATTCATCACATTTTCGTTTTCATTCACGAAAAAAGTCAGAAATTAAAAAAAAAAAAAATGAACAAAAATCGTAAAAGAACAATTTTTTTGTGCGAGTTTTTTTTTAAAATCATATTGTCACCTGAACTTAAAACATTAAGGGCCTGGCAGTCTTCAGACGCTCAAAGCCTTTCTTCACATCACTAAATGCCTCAATTTCATTTTTTTAATTTTTTGCGGTGTGGTGGTTTGCAAACTCCAGCTTGTTCACCCACAACGAGGGAGAGGCACACTGAAATAAAGACCCGGACTCACGGTGCAAACAATATTAGGCCATCTTCTAAGATCAAAATGTTTGCATGTAAAAAAAACCCAAAAAACTGTTGAAGTGCTTGCGAGTTGGTGTAGCAGATCTGTGCGTGCCTGTTCTTTTTGTCCCTTCACTCTTCTTTTGCTTTCGAAGATGCAGAGAGGAGGACATTAAACGATTGCACGCCTTCCTAAAGCTTGAGACAATTAACGATGCTCTCTTCGGTTATAGTGACATAGTGACTATGACAGTTAGTATAATGTGACAATGTCACAACAGGATCGGACGCTCAATCTTCGGCTGGAATAAAGTTCAACACGGAAATCTACTGAAAAGGATGTGACAGCAACTGGCACGCTGCTCAAACGATATTAGAACACCTTTGATCTTTTGGAGACATGAATGTTTATTTGATTTTGTCCTTTTTTTCACTATTCTTTTGAAAGATTCGGGTTGCCCACATCCCTGTCACCCGTTTCGTGTGTCAGCTTTTTGTGACCAAGATAAAAATGATAATGTTTTTTGTTTTTCTACAATATAAGGACACATCTTATGTAGAACGCATATTTTGACAAGGAACCTATTGCACTGTTTTTTAGTCTTCCTAATTAAGCCAACTGCCGTAACATCCTGAGAGGTAGCCCACCTAGAATCGAAAGGGAATCGGGTGAAGAAAAGGAGTAAGCTAACTTTCAATGTGCAATAAAAAAAAAAAAAAAAAAAAAAGGTTGAAAAATGCTAATTTTAAATTTTGTAACCTGCAAAATTTGTGATTGCAGGGAAGGGCGATGAACCAAAGATCAGCAATGTTCTTTTGTTTTTTTTGTCTCTGCTTCGGCCAAGTAACACCATTTATGCGGAGGTCAGGGCCTAGCAATTACTATAAGTGAGCTATCTTTCGGTGTTTATAAAAAAAACAACAAATCGTGCCAATAAAACAAAAAACAGAGACACTTGAGACTGCTTACGTGTAGGAATGCAAAAGCATTCCTACAAGCAGCACGCCATGTCTTCCCTTTTCACACGGTGCCCCACTGGTGACACCACGCTGTCCCACAGTGCAGGCGTGGTGAACCCCGCCGGCTTCACAACGGCATCCGTGGCGTAACATCTGCGTTGCTACGCTTTTCTTTGTGTTTTATTTCTGAGGCTCGTCCGCTTTGACCTTGAGCACCCCCGCAGGCTTTCGTGACAAAGCATCTGCGTTGCTGGACTTTCCTTTGCGTTTTATTGCTGAGGCTCGTGCTTGATGACGTATCGGTGTGACCATCTTTCGGGCATAACGCCGCCGATTTTTCGCGTAACGAGACAAGTAAGGCTTTCGCCTTAATAATTTTTTGAGATATTACGGTATTAAGAAAAAAAATAATAGCTGACGTTTGCTGTCGTTGCCTCACCCGACATGTAGCTAAAGAACACTGAGCTGTGGCACAGCCGACCCGTGCTACGTGCATTTTGGACTGCATATTCACATTCTATTTCTTGTTTTACCCTAGTATGAAAAGTTAGTGACACCGGAAAAGTAACGGATTACTTTTTGATGTAATGGTCGCTTACTTTAATGGATGAGTAATTGCAACAGTAATTAGTTACAATTCAGCCTCATATAATTGTAAATGTATTTCCTTACTTCTTTTTAGTAGCATGTACAAGTCTGTACAGTACTGAGTTTGAAAAATTCTCGCTCGATTTTTTAGACGTGACACGCAAACATAAAAATTTTCTTACTCCAGGGTTATAAACATTAAAACGCAGGGCGGTTTTCCTTATGTGTTCCCAGTCAAGTGGGATATTCTGTTCGCCTAGGAACCACCGTCAAGTCGAAGTAAGTCGCTTTGCTTTTATTTCTTACGAACAACAATGCACCGAGAAACTGAGGGAGGGGACGGGACGAAAGTGTGCGGGGACGTCAGAACACCGAGCTCTGATTGGAAGTATTTGTCTCCACTGCACTCGTCGAACGCATTCAAATGCGAGAGCCAGACACCGGCGTTCCACGTTCTGCCGCGTTATGCACAGTTGCTAGAAGCCTAAATCAGTGCAAACTCTATCTTGCAAAGAGCTGCTGCAACAGCATTCACTTTTCGCCTCAAACGACAGACCGACCTCACAGTTTACAAGATCGTATTCACTTTTTTTTTTAGTTGCATGGCAAGTGATTGCAGGATTGTGCCCGGTTAGTCTCTTTGTCGGGTTTACCATCATACGATAACTTGCACGTCTAAATCCGCACTTTTGCGGCTGATATTGCTGAAATGACGCAATTTCGAACAGTGTTTCCACGCCAGCCGGGTGTTGGGTACTGCCCAGTCTACGGAACAGATGACGTGACAGGCTGGAGAGGGGGAATTTCCCTCGGCCCTTTCTAGTGGAATGGTCTATATCGAGCATTTTTTTCACGGTGCCGAGGGAGCACTGGACTGCACTTCTGCTGCATTCATTTTGCACCATAAAGCTTCCGGTAACCTGTGCCTGCTAGTGGCATACGTTTTTCACCGTTGACCGTTAAAACTTTCAGTTCGAAAAAAATGAAGGGAGGACCAGAATTAATAATTCGATAAATTCAAAATTTAAATAGAAAGAAAAAATGGATTTTGACACAATATTTGGGTTCCAAGTGTGGTGTGTTGGTGTGTTGAGCCAAGTTTTGATGTAAATCAGAGATAGTCAAAGAAAACGGCGGTGTACCCCTTTAAAGGATAAGGACGAGACGTAGCAGTGCGGCGAAGTTTCTCGATGATACTTAATAAGTTAGTCATGCTAAAATATCAATTTCATCTAAATAAAAGGAATTTTTTATACCTTAACATTTTACTAAAATAAAGTGAATTTATGAAATAAAAAAAATGTCTTGACAATAATGTGATTGCTGCACTAAACTGCGCCACAGTACTTGCCCTGCGGGGTTTTGCTACATTTCACCAAAATGCCAGGAATTTGTGCCAACCTGGAGGCAGAGGTTGATTTTTTCCTCTCAATTCCTAATTTAACAATTGGACCCTTGCTACATCCCCGGGTTGTAATAGTAGGCTCGTGAGGTTTCTAAACTTCCCACGATCGATTCATGTAACGTAAGCTATAATTTTGTTTTTATCAAAGAGCACACATATTGTGCAGAAGTTTCAAATATTTCTTATTGTTGGCAGTCTTGTCCAAGTGAGTAAGCCATTTCGGTAGAAGGTGTTTTTTGAGAAAAAGCTAACGCATCTTAATCCTTTGGGTTAAGTCGGCAGAAAGGATGTGCAACGTTTTTATCTATGAGGTTTTCTGCTCATCCTACATACAATGGATGGATAGATGGGTGGATGCATGCTAATGACTGTACCCTTTACAACGGGCAGTTGCTTGCTCCACCTAGCCTAGAGACCAGAAGTATGATTCGTCCCCTCGCCCTTCGAAGCCATATGTACAAATGACACATGGTTGGTACCACCCTAGCTCAACTGGTCACGTGACTGACGTCGGTGTCACGTGGCATTGGAGGCGTTATTACACGTGACATGACCACTGTCTGCTAAATTTGGTGGGGGTGCGTTCTTTTTTAAATTTGGCAGAAAAATTGTGAATTGGTGTAGAACTATACACCAATTCAATTTCCCCACTAAATCCAACAGGGAAATTGCATGCTGCCTGCACTTCAGTTTTGCTTTTTTTCGGAGCTTTTCTTTTTTATTTTATGAAACACTAGTTTTATACACTTTACACTTTCTGTGCGAAAGATTGGAACTATGCGATTCTTGATTTGGCGACTCCAGCTTGCCGTTAAAGCTTCAAAGAAAGTAGCTATTATGCCAGTATTGTTTATTAGGCTGCGATCTCCTGACAGCCTGCCTGATTTCTTTTCCAAATTCTAGCTTTAAGGAAAGGTATTTGGGCACAGGGCAGGAGGATTTGTAAATTCCTTCAACTATACTAGTATGTATAATCTAGACATCAGTCCAGGCCTACTTTGTATGTCATCAAGCCCCTTATTTACTTACTGCCTCTATGTAGTTTGACTTTTCAACAGCACTGTCATTAGATAAGTAGAGAAAATAAAATTATATAGGCTTTAGTAGTCAATGAATGTGCACTTGGGCATAACTTAATGAGTTGCAGCCTTAGATTTCTTTAAGGCAGTATTTATCACCCACAAGCTGATTTTGTATGGTTTTAAATTGCTGCTCACATAACGCCTTTGTGTATCTATATAGCTGAGACGGGCAGCGGTTCTCTTCACGAGGACTCTTCTGAACGATGTTTTACTGTAGTAAAAATACTGATGGAGTACAGTATCCAAGGTGGCGTGCGAGACTATACTTCGTTTCACCCTAGGTCCGAGCGCGGCCAATGTTATGAGCCGAAGGGCCAATCAAACAGCGTGAAAAGTGCAACGTCATGGCATTGCATTTTGCTGTATGTTCGCACCTGCAAAGAAGGATGGCACCTCTTCCAATTAGTTTCTTAATGTTCTTAGCTGTAAGCCGAGCACTAAAGTGAACAGTCAAAGGTGTTCAAGTTCTCATATTAAAAAAGAAATGTTAATAATCGTTGCTCTAACCTAGTTAGATTTTTTAGCGACTAGTAACCTGGTCCAGTTACCTCTGAAGGCAGTGTTTACAAGGTTGCACGTTTCTCTTTTTTTTTTTTTGTAACCAACTGCCGCTCGATTAACTTATAAGGGTAACTGTTAGAGCTCCAGTTGTAGGCAGCATCATCTTTCGACGCAATTGGCACTTTGTTTCTTAAACCATTTACGAGTAAAAATTGACTCTAGGTTTCACAAATGTTGGGCAATGAGGCGTCTGCTAATAGGTGCTTTGGAGAATAATCGCAGCTTGTTACGTCTCGTCCTTTCCTACCACGGGCAGTTTCTCAGTTGTGGACCGTTTCGTATATGCTACCTGTTTTCTCACGTATCTTTGTTTTGCGGCCTTTGACCGATTTGTGACGCGACGGTATTGCCCGGCATGTTTCGTGGCACCCGAGTTTCGAGGTGATGTTCGGCGGGGACTTATTTGCCATTGCGTTGGACTGTGCCTTGGGCTTGGTAGAAGGCAGGGCGTGGCTTTGGCGCAGCTCCATAGAAGTCACTAACAGTCTAAGAAACACAAGGCTTTCTAGTTTCCCACTCTGTGATTGGTTCTTTGGTGTCCTTATCGGCCGACGCTTCAATCTCATTGGCTGTAGGGGAATAATGAGATGCTCTCGGTACTTGCCATGCCCTACGTTTCTTCAGCTGCCAGTAATTGAAACGGAAAAAATGAATTGCGGGAGCAGTACATCTTTTTGCTATAATATGTAGATACAAACAACATAATGCTTTGCCTCTATATTTTTTTCTTTGAATTGTTTTAGTTTTGTTTGCTTCTAATTGTTTTGGTCCCTTGACTGTTTCAAATTTTAAAGGAGCTGTGCAGCAATTTCGGTGCTTTGCTTAAATAATTTGGGAGGTGGTGCCTCGACCTTTCTGAAGTAAAGAACAAAAACCGCTTTCGTCTGCATGTCCTAGTTTTTATTTTAAAAATGGACAAATTTTGAGGTTTTTTAGCACCTCTCAACTCTCACCATCTTCCGAGTCACGTGCGCTGTGACGTGAATGGGGGACGCGCGGGGTTCCGGTGGAGCTCTCTCTCTAGAGCCATCAGTGAGCAGCGAGAACTCACCCGCTCGCGACCACGTGACCACGTGCTTGCGCAGCGGGATCAACATGGCGAGAGGAGGAAAGTCTCGTGTTCGTGTCCAGCCATCCCCGTCCTGCTCTGCCCCCTTTCTCCTCCAGCTTCTGGCGACTGTTCGAGGTAGCAGATAGAGCTGACGGTTTTATTGACCTCGGATAGATGGCGCCACTAAAACTCTGTATAATAAAAGTTTTGTCGACGATACCAGGTTTTTGGCGCATTTATATTTATGTTAGAACGACAAGATTTATAGAAAAATTACCTTTTATCGAGCAGGTATTTGCACAACCTGCTATCTTTTTACAAGTCCCCCATTGACGTTATGCCGCGAAATTCTCATGGCCGCCGCTCTTGGCTGCAGGTCGGGAAATATTTTAACTTTTGCCTCGTAATTATGCGGCGGAATCGCAACATTTTGAAGGAAGGAGATGTATTTTCTGTCCTTTGTGACAAGATAAACAATGTCAAAAGTGTAAGATGCAAATTCTTTCAACGTTAAAAATTGTTGCACAGCTCCTTTAAGAGCGGCATCCACAAATTGTGGTCTGGCAGATACAAGCTGCCCACCGGGACAAGTGGGGACACGCGCACAGTGCACTGGCACAAGGTTGGCAGCATTCCTTCTTTTATTTTTTTTCCCCCTTAAAGGGGTTATGAAATGATCTTTCAACTCCTTCCTCCTTGGCTTTCCTCCTCAACTCAAAAGCAGAATGAGAAGTTGCGTGGTCGTGGCGAAGTATTTCGCCAGAATGTGACGAGTCCAAGGTTTCGGCGCGCTTTCTAAGCTCACAGTGGAACTTGTCGTTTGTGAGCAATGACAAGTGCTGTCATGGCACTTCCAAATATTTTGTCGACAGATTGATTGGTGACGGGCGCCTACGTCTGAGCGACGTGGCGCTCGTGTCCAATACGTGAGCTGGGTTCGGCCGACGTGCTTTGGGTACCACGGATGTATCGCAGTTAAAAAGGCACAGAGCTTTTGAAGGAAAAGAGGCCCCAAATAGTCCACTACTTTTCAAAATTTTCTCACTGAAAATCAGGCTGTCGACTTTCTGCCCTCTTTTTTTTTGGACCACTAAACAATGCGCAGTTAGCAAAATCCCAATCGAAAATCATTTATCCCAGCCCAAAATTTATTTCATGGCTCCTTTAATCATCTCTAGTCCTTCTATAAGCTTCTAAAGTTTAATAAAGAGTGATGGACAAGATACAAGTGTTGGAAAGAAGCGATACACTGAAGGAGTTTCTACTCAAAAACGGAACTGAGCAGTTCTGGAATTTTCTTTTTTTTTATTACGTAAAAATATACGAGGATGCTGACACCCCCGTGCGCTGGCTACTCCGCAACTTGTTTGGGCGGTCATTGTTTTGTTAGCTGGTCATCAATAGTGAGTCGATAATCGTGGAAGGGCCGAGGAAGTTTTTGCCTGTTTCAATCTGTAGGGGACCGCCATCCTACGTGGAACAAAATTGTAATTTTTTATTGCCCAAGATTTTCTGTTTTTTTTTTTAGTTCTTGGGATATTGGTTAGGGAGAGTGTGCGGATGGCCCGATCACAGTAGACATCCCACATGATTCCATAGGAGATACCGAGAGATTTGACCTTCTGCAGCTGATGTCAGGTGGAGGGAGAGAGGAGAGGAGTCGTTAAAGGTGATGTCATTAAAAGGGAGTTCGCTAAGTGGAGTTACTAAAAGTGCATTGAAACCAAGACGGTAAACAATCCACTTCTTGGGAATGATTTCCAGGAGACGATGGTTCGGTGTCAATATGGGCGCGGCGAATGTTTAAACTTTTCTGGTCTGTCTTCTGCTGAGCGGTTGACTGCAAAGAAAATCGGCCCAGCGTTGTTGAAGTACAAAATGTATTACTTGCGTCCCGCTGAAAGAGTTGCCTTTTTCGTTTTCATATTCTGTTTATCTGCGAGAAAGCTGTTCTGATGTTCCAAGTTGTTTTACATGTTTTTACTATGTTGTGTTTTTACTATGTTGTTTTACATGTTTTTGCTGTCAGCCAGACCGGGCTGTGTTAGTGGGAAACGTCCCACTGACCCCTTGAGTGACTCGTTATACTTGTTAGGAACTTCATGTATGTACCTTGTATAGCAGCCCGTGTTACAAAAGTGCATTTTATGCCGAGCCTTTGTGACGGTGACTTTTCCTGCACTGCGGAGCCTCACCCTCGACACGCTGTAAGGGACTTTTCTCTTGCAGGAACCCTTATTTTGAATTTTGAAAAGAAAAATATATTTTGAAAAATTTAATTGTATAAAAATAATTGCCCTGCAATCAACACACCTGTTTATCCTAAATTTAAAAAAAAAATTTTAAGTGTTGCAGAGTATCTTTGCATCACAAAGAGTATTGCACCTGCAAATATTACGTTGCTTACGGCAGCATCAGCCTTGCTCGTTGTACGATCAGGTTCTCAAAAAAGTTGCATCTACAAAGCTGGGTTGCTTCTACTATTTTGTGAAGTGCATGAAGACAATAGAGAACTACCATTGATAATGAGATTTTTGTCTCTAATGGTCTTGGGGACCTTATGCACTTCACAATAATAATGTAAAACTAAAAAAGGAAAACAAAAGAGAAATTGTGCCTAGTGGAACCACTCAAACTCTCGAAATTTACCTGCTATTTGATCCTTGTCCGATGCGAACAGTGTAGACACCTAACATTTTTGAGTAAAGGTTGTAAAGGAAACTTTACTGGTGAAGCATGCAGTGTTCTCCTGTATTCAAAGTGTTTAAAGTGTGCTTCCTTAGATGTGTTCATTGCACATTTCCAGCACTACCTTTGCTGTCAACCTCACTGTCCCCTTGATTAAAAAGTGCCTCGATTTTCGGAGACCATCACCGCTTTTACGTGCCGGTTCTTTTGGCACAGTTGTCAAACGCCACATTGCACAGCACAAATGGTGTGCCTATAGCTCGTGCTTCAGCCAGACCTGTGACTTTAAAAGCGTGAGTTGCAAGGTACGGTCTCCCACAATGTGAAAGACCCATTCATACTAAGCAAACATTGGTCAGGGGTACTTCAATTTTCGAAAGAGAAGATTATGAAGGTTAATTTATTTCCTCACCCCAAGCAATCTATGCTTGTCAAAGAGAATCCTACACAGCCAAATGAAACTGCCTAGTCTGATCGTTCTTTCACATTGTTGGAGTCTGTACCACAGGGGTACCGTGCCTTGGAGTAACCCCAAGAGGGCCTTTTCCAGGGTTGCCTTTCTGTTGTGTAGCGGTAGCATATGCATTTGTCTGCCGTATATGGTGGTGCTTACACGGCGGCATTGGCGCTCGGTAGGTGTACAATTGTGACGCTTCGTAATTCTGTTCCGCCTTCGCTTGTAACAACATTACAGGGTGGGGTAGTAGGGGTTAAAACTTTTTAGTAGACCGTCAAGAAATGCTTTCCAATGTTTCCCATAGACGGCTCCAAACACCCTTGCGGGGTTCATTACTCTGCAATGCAGAATTGCTGACGCGTAGTGTGGGTTTGGCGACTGGCAACGACGGAGGAGTAACACTTGTGATGTTAGCGTTTTCTACGAGTTTGTGATTTGTTAGTTTTTGCTACAAATAAAGAGTTGACTTTTTTTTTTTGTCTTTTGTGTAGTGGTTTTAGTGACTGCTGATGCAGTAAGGCTGAATTGAACCACACCATCAGGAAGTGCCGAGATGGGAATTCTTTGCATCAAGTCACTGCTCCGAGACGCTCGGTCACAACGCTAACTGGATCGTGCTTGCACGCTCAAGAATGCCTTTGTCGCCCTACGTCATTTGTGTCTTGAGCCAATTCTGCGCGTGCCATCTATCGTGTTCAGTTGACTGGTGGTGCCTGGTTTTACCGTGTCAGGCCTGTTGACCTACAACGTCGTGTAACCTTGAACCAATTGGACTGTAAATAACATATTATTTGACTGTTTTTTCTTTTTTTTTTTTGCAGAGTATTTTTAGTTGTGTTATTTTGTGTAACATTTGGGGCTGGTTTAAACTGAACGATGGTTTTGAATTCTGCTGTTGGTCTTTACTATGGCTGGGCTCTGAATAACCATGAATCAAAGGGCATGTCTGTCTCTGTTTCCTTGAAACTTTGGGAAATTGATACGGACTTTAAAAAAAATTGGTTGGAGTTTGTACCACTGTAGAAACTGACGATGATGTAAAATCAAATGATGATCTTGAGTCGGACGACAGCCTAGATATCAGTGAAAGTACATATTTTGGTGACTCCAGCTACCGAATTCTTCTGCAGACGTTGGCCACAGTTAAATGTCTAGAAAGTTCACAAAGAGCATATGCTGTCATTTATGGAAGTTATCTCTTTCAAAGCCGACGTGTGCGGGTGGGCTTTAGTAGTGACCCACCTCTCACGGTTCCACCCATTTTATAATTGGGAAAAAGAGGCCCAGAGGATGGTGGGGCAGATTTGTTTTGAAGCTCTTAAATGCGATGATGAGCCCTTTCACTGGCATGTAGCTGGGTAGTAGAGCATTTCTGAAACATTTCCTAGTAACCTCCAATACTGTCGAAACTGTCTCAAAGTTACCATAAGGGCATTAAACTCTCTTCCTTTCATTTTTGACACTTTACATCACCGGTAGTGGCTGGCAACCGATGGATTGCCGTAGAGAGAGGAACTTAATGTCATGCTCGGAGGTCAATGCCGTTTGTTGTGGGTGCCACGTAAAAAGTTGGGTAAGCAGCAGGATTCGAGTAATTTTCCCGCGTGAAGGTGTTAGCAAAACTTCGGATGTGCCCACTTCGGATCTAGAACAGCCTAATGGCCAAAGATTTCATCACGTACTCTGAGAGCAAATGTTTTTCAATGTTTGTTTTAATTAGAGCCGGAGCATGAAAGCGTAATGCATTGGGGTGTCTCGGCCGTTTTAGCCAGCCTAGATTAGGCTGCTGTCCTGAAGCCCCGTTGCGGTAATTGCAAATGTTAAAGGGCCGATGTTGACGCATCATCCAAGATCCGATCTCCCAGCCCGCGAACGTGTCTTTGTTCTTTCGGTTATAGAGCTTGATTAGGCGAAGATTCCGAGCTTGATTAGGCAAAGATTCCGATTGGAGAGTTTTGCATTATTTATAGCTTCCTTGGTACAATAGTAGGACCTTGCCGTTTGTGTTCCTTTTTTAGCGTTATGGCTAGGAATGACAAGTTACTGCACTACGTGGCAGTCGAGTCCAATGGCAGTTTGTGCCGGATACTTTTTTGGCGCTCTGCTGGGTAGGTTCTAGGGAAGCCTAGAGAGACTAAATAGGCCATGCAATGCCACCGGCACCCTGTCGCCTAGCGCAGGGCGGGTGCAGTTGGCAGTAGTTACGATTCAAAAATGCCTGTTCTCGAGCTTTGGTTACGCTACCCGGAAGCCCGGGCATGGTCGGTTTGCTTTGTTGCAGACCGTTTTACCGTTTGTTTTCAGCAACGGAAGAGCGTTTCTTGCGATTTCAGATGAATTTTAGATAACAGGTCGTGCTTTGTGTGACCCCCCATTCTGTTGCTCGCAGAGAACCCACCCCTGCTTGTATTGATCTGGACGAGCGTCGTACTGGTGTGCAGACGTGTATCGCTACTGCGTGGTGCACGTTATCTAGCAGTCGTACTCCATTGGCTAGATTTCTCGTCTAAAGCGTTAGGACGATCTGCCTTTGAGGTATGGCGACTCCGGTTTACACCGTAGATGAGAAGTGTAGCCAGTGTAGTACGACTGCGATTCTGGAGTCTTTTTAACGTGCATCGCGCAGTAGTGATACACAATTGCACACCGGTACAATTCGGAAATGGGCGAATTTATGGGTGAGGCTGCCGGGGAGGGGGTTATGTCTGCAGGGAAATCGGATGTTATGAACGAACGTGACGTCACAGACGATGCATTCCCCAGATAGATATTGCTGACCTTATGTTTGCCATTTAACCAAAACCAAAATTTTCTTCCTAAAAAAAAAAAGCTTGTATATGTAATTTTTTTCTATTAAAAACATTGCCTTTGAAATGGGGGGGGGGGGGGGGAGGTGCAACGTTTTTTTTTTATAGAACCTATGAATTTATCGCCCCCCCATAAATTTTCCCGTGGATTCGATACTTGTAAGCCAGTGTCGCTGTACTCCAAGGGTATGGCAACACGGACCTTACGTTTTCTAAGTGCGCCCGCCTTATTTCGTTTTCTATTTCTTCCAGAGTGGGCGCTGTCCCCGTCTGAGTCGTCTACGCAGAGCGGAGAGGAGAAGTTCAGCGCGTGTGCGTGCCCCGTGTGCGGCAAGGTGCTGTGCAACTACTTCATCATGAAGCGCCACATGGTACTGCACGACAAGGACCGGACTGCCTACCGCTGCTTCTTCTGCAAGAAGGCCTTCAAGTGGAAGCACGGCCTGATGCGTCACTGCCGTTCAGCACACTCCGCCCACCTGCGGCTCGCCTGAGCACGGCGGGGCGCCGATACGGTACCTGCAACGCGTCTCCGACTGGTCTGTTTACCACGTCCCAAAAAGTGCCACGCGGTCGCCGGCACAATTGTGGCAGCATCGCGGCGGTGGATGTGGCAAACTCCCCTTCTGCCACAGGTCGCTCTTTAGCTTGACCTTGCTAAACACACCGGTCGGAGACGCGTCCCGGACACCGTGCAGACGAGTCCTGTGGACCATTCCTGGAATCACGTGTGCGCTGCCGTCTTCGTCTGCCGGGCTGTGCAATGTGTTCCGAGCACGCACAGTGACCCGGCCTCTTGTGCAGAATACTGTATGCTGCACGTGCATCCACAGCCTAGTGACTGCATTTTTTGCCCGGGCGATAAGATTTGGAGAGCTGGATAGTCGCGTAGAGGGCGTGAACCATGAGACGGCGAAGCGTCGTCGAAAGCAGTGAACCCGCGCCGGAGGCGGCACGGCCGACGGACGTCTCTGCCGTTCTTATCCTGTCGCCGACTATGATTTTTGTCACTGTCGCATTGTGGCGTTCAAAGTCGATTGGAACTGCCGACTGACTCCGGCCCGAGTTTTCTCTCTCGAGAAATTCGAAGCGAATCCGGAATCGACTTTTTCCAGCGTTGTAATATGTGTATGAGCAAAACAGAAAGTGTCTTTTTGTGCCGCATAAATTCACTACGTGTTGGGAAACATTCGGTCGTCACTTGAACGTAGCTCCAGCAGTTGATGCGGGATGTGAAAGTTTGGAACTTTATCCGACTAAGTCGGGAAGTAATTTTGCAAACTTTTAGATAAGAAGATGGCATCTGCTATTGGCAGGAGACCCTATTTGTTTCCGCATATTCGCGGCCTCCGCTGCATCGAAAACGTCCGGCAATCGCCTTACGCTCTTTAATAAAGTAACGATAAATTCTTTATCAATCCAATCTGCTATAGCTCCATTTGGGCAGGTTGTGAATGCGATACACGGTTTATTTATTCGCAGTGTCTGGAGTGCCGTCCGACGGTGCTCTTGCGAAGCGTTCAAGTACTGACAATGCTTTGAATTCACATTCAAGAGCCGTCCTACCGAGCAAGTACCGTCCTTTAGTGAATAATGTCTTGCTTTTGGCACTTTGTTGCCAAATTTAGTATACTTTCACTGTACTTTTTTTGTGCTAAATTTGATAATTATGTGTCTAGTCAGATTCCCTAAACATTTTTTCATAACAAATAATGTCTGAAGATTAAAGAATGATTCCTGACTCGTTTCAATAGCACAATGGTTAGCATGCTTGGCTATATAAAAAAAATATAACTGAATTTCACAAATATCTAAATTCAGTATGTGTGCCTTAAAAAAAACAATAATTTTTTTTTTGTATTTTTAAGAGGTTGCTTTGCCCTTTCAGCAAACTTGAGAAAATGCGCTCCTGCATCGCACAGGCATAAACATACATAAGAAAGCATGCTGCTTACTCCTGTAGCATTTATCTCGCTTGCGCTTTAAGTTAAAACAAATTGTCGGCGAGCAACTGATCGAACACATGTTAGAATAAGCGTGACTTGTGCTTAGTTAACACTTTCGGACGGCACTTGGCGCGAGTGGAATGCCGCCGGATGGTACTCTAGACACACCGTTATTTATTTTGTGCAAAAAATATGACCAGGTTCCGTTACGTGCCACCGCATGTGTGGGGATGCGTTCGTCAAGCTTGGCCTTGGGTCCTCAAATCATAGCCAAAACACTGTGCCTCATCCCAGAGTTGTGGGCGTCGGTTTTAACTTCCATCTTTCGTTGCTGCGACTGGTCGTGCTAGCGGAAGCGGAGCCCCTTCGTGTTCTTGTAATGTCCTTCCGACGGTGCAACTTGCAGTGCACAAAGTTTGTTTCTTTATTTCGGCGTGTTTGGTTAAGTTCGACTTTGCTGACCTTTTTTCAGAAGCATACTTTTTTTAGATCTCACTTCTCATTTCTGTAACTTAGACTGTCTCATCAGGCCTTTTGCACCTGCCTGATTTTTCCATCGTCTTCATTCCAGGAAGCACTCAACTCCTATTTCGGTTTGACTGTTTGTCCAGATCTTTGAAAGTGCATACTCCGAAACTGAACACGCGGTTGCAGATTTTCCCCTTTTTTTATATTGCCCGAGTGAGGAGCCATATTGAGGATGAATAAAATATTGCACAAA